GTAGACATCAGTCATTAGATAAATTTGAGTTGAAATTGTTGCTCTAGTGGTAAAATCATCAATGGATACTTTTGCTTACAGGTATACGGCGTATCTGGCATCCTAAAATTAAAATTCCGTTAAACAGATATATGAATCGAGACATATCTTCAGACGAGGCTTCTGTTGTTATGGCTGGTGTAAGTGCTCATTTTATTTTGCTTCTAGAGCCTAAGAGTTGTTGTTGAAACATAACAAATATCTTTACATGTTGTTATTATTATAGTGTGATCTTCATGGTTGATTTACTGTTTCTGGACAAAAGCTAAGATAAAGAAAGTCACATCAATCAAATAATCCCTCCCTCTGGCTCTGGTGTTGTAGAGTATACTTCAGAGTTCAGTGATGGTTATAAGGAACACATTCTGAGTTTTGGGACTAGAAACCTAAGAGGAGAGGCTCAGAGGATCTGGAAAATTCTTTTTGGAGATTGCCATATCAGTTATGGATGTTAAAATGTATGAGTTACGTGTTGATGCTGCAATCACTGGCATAATGACTCCTCCATTAGCGGCACTCCAGGTGATTCCTTAAATAATTACCCTGCCACTTGAAAATTTGTTGGGAGGTGCAACTATATATAGGTGCAAAAAGGGAAAAAACTAGCAACCCAACTATATATAGTGTTAGGTAATTTTGTTTCAACAAAGGTAGTCTCTAGAAATTCATCTCATTTTTGGGACCAGAAACCCAACGAGAGGCTCAAGGCAATCCAGAAAATTTTTATAGGTGATTTCCATATTAGTTATGGAATGTTAATGAGTATGGATCTGTATTGATGCAGCAATCACTGGCATAAACTCCTCCTCCATTGATGTGACTCCAGGTGATTCCTTATGTAACTTGCTGTAATTAGTTCACAAATGTTTTGTATAGAAGTTCTTCTAATGGTCTAAGGTTCATGAGTAGCTCTTTGCTACATGCTTTCTAAAATACAGTTTAAACATATAAGAGTTCTTTTCCTTGTTTCGTTTTGCATTTCTTCCTCTAAACTGATAAAAGATGCGAATCTTTCATGGTAAAAATGGGAAAATTGTCAATTTTAATATGCAGTCATTTCGGGAATTTGGAGTTGATACGTAAAAAATAATTTAGAGATAATTTTTATCACATTTTTATATAATTTTATGCATTAATTAGCTTTTTTTAATTATTTAAAATTTATAATATTAAGTGTATTTATTTATTTAATATATATAAATTATATAAAATAATAAAAAATTTTAATTTAGTACTTTTAAGAAATAAATTAAAGGTACATTTTTATAATAAATTTATATAAAAAAAATATAAAAATAAACATTAATTTTAATATTAATACTATGTAAATAAATTTTATTAAAGTTAATCAATTAAATATTATTTTTTATTTTTTAAAATTCTAAAAATGCGCAGACTAAAAAAACTTGAAAAAATTTATTTCTATATTATTACTATTGATCCATGGGGTGAGCCCCATAAACTGATAAAATCATTTTCATCTTTAACATTGCGTTTCCTCTGCAAAGTCAGCCCCCTGATATGATTATGAGGCCAGGCAATAGCGGAGTGGAAGCCCAAAATCCAGTGACATTTTGGCCCATGATGAGTGGCAAAGAGCAGCTCGAAGCAAGCATGGAAAGGGGCCTTTGGATCCAGATGGTAAGCCCACTCTCAAATATTAGCACAAACCCCTAATTTAAAAAAAAAAAAAAAAAAGATAAACTCTCAATTTGGTCCTCAACTATTGTACAAACTTTCGATTTGATTCTTAAATTAAAACATCCTTAATTTGATCCTTATTATTTATTAATTTAACGTCAAGTTGATCTTTTTGTAAAAAAAAATGATATATCTCATTATAAATATGACACATCGTCATTAAGTAACGATATTTTACAGTTAAGTAACAAAAATATCAATTTTTTAAAAAATAATTTAACATTAAATTGATATAAATTAAAAATTATTTTTTTTTGAAACAATTTTAACATTATTTACAGGTATATATGGGGGAAGGGAGAAAATGAGTTCTATGGGGCTCGAACACGCTACTTACAGAGGTAAACAGCCCTAACTCAAGTTCCAATACTACTGAATCAAGACGGACCATTCAGATTAAAAATTGTTTTAGTTTAAAAATTAAATTAAAAATTCATATATAATAGTTGACTGACCAAGATGAGAATTTAGCAAAAAAAAAAAAACAAAAGGGAAAGCAGAGAATGCCAAACAGAAAAGCAGAAAGGTGACGGGTCGCTTTTCCTTTTTTTAATGAGTGGAGGACTGTCCCTTTACTAATTCCACCTGCACCAACCTCAAAAATTCCTTTTTTTTTTTCGTTCAAATTATTTATATATTTTTTAAATTTATTTCAAGATCGTACGTATGATGATCTCTCCGTTTCCGGTCAGATTTCCCGTTTAAATGCTCTCCATTTCCGTCTCGGGTTCAACCTTGATTCATTTCTCCATTCCAATTCTTCGAAGCCGGTGCCTGTTCGCTCCAAACGTACACGTAAATCTCTTCTCCTTTTCTCTTTCGATTTCGAGGAATGCAACAAAGTTTGTAAAGATTTTTATTTTTTATTTTTTATGCTTGATTCTAGTATTCTTCATTTTCTATGTCTCCATTTCTCGCAATGCGATTAGATTTTAGGAAGAATTTTTGTTCAATTTTGGTTCCTGGATTTTTTTCTTTTTTTATCACTGATTTGTAGGACTGTTACGAGTAATTTGCTGCTTTTTTTCTAAAGCATGGTAATCTGCTTAGGATCTGAATTGAACGCGTGTTGATCTTCAGATTTTGTTGTGGTTTCCGTGCTTTAGCTGATTTTTTTTTTTTTTATATTACATTGATGGATCTGTAAAATAAGAAATTGTTTTGCTTCCTTTGAAGGTGTTCATGTGATAATTGTTTGGTCTGTTGATAATTTCAAATGTAAAATTGAAACAGTTCTTGCCGAAGTTCTTGTTTAGGTTTCATTCATGTCCTAAATCTGTTTAGTTGTTGACAGAACTGTGGAAAAGAAAGCTGGCAGCATGTTTGCAATTATGTCTGGTAGCGACAGTTAGAGAGGCAACAGTTTAGCAATTACTTATGTTTTACTTTGAAAGGATTCTTGGTGTAATCTCTTCGGGTTGCTTTCTTGTAGGTCGAAATCTTGTAACTACCGACGAAGGTGTTCTGCGAGACAGAAATGTTGTATGGATTGGTGCTTGCCAAGAGTTAGAGCAATGATGTTTGCAGAGAGTGAGGGTGGGGATAAATCTCTTTCTAAGGATTCTGAGGCTTTGAGTGTGTCAAAACAGCTTGTTAGGAGTGTTAGCAAGAGGTTGAGGAAGAAGAACCATAGAGGTGACCTTCAGGAGGAAGATGATGCCAAAGGGGTTTCTTTAAAATGTCTTACTTTCTATGGTAGAGGCGGTGGTTGCAAAGTTGGTGCATATACAAGTGAAGAATTTGGGGATTCAAGTAGTAGCAAGAGGTCAAGTGCAAGTGAAGAAAGGAAGGTGTATAAAACAATTTGTGGTACAGATGAGAAGAATGTGGATTGCTTTTCAACTGGGATGAGGGAGAGATTTTGGAAGAAAAACAACCGAAAGGATTTAGTGCTTGAGGAATCAATACAAAATAGCAAGATGCACATCTTTCTTCCAGATGACATTCTTGAGATGTGTCTGGTGAGGTTACCACTGACTAGTCTCATGACCGCTCGCCTTGTTTGCAAAAGATGGAGATACTTGACTACCACTCCTCGATTTATGCAGATGAGACGGGAAGGTTCATTTCAGCACCCCTGGTTATTTCTGTTTGGTGCTGTTAAAGATGGCTATTGTTCTCGAGAGATGCATGCATTTGATGTATCTCAACATCAATGGCATAGGATTGATGCTGATATTCTCAAAGGGAGGTTTATGTTCTCCGTTGCCAGTATACAGGATGAAATTTACATTGTTGGAGGCTGTTCAGGCTCAACCAACTTTGGGATGGTAGATAGGAGCTCATTCAAGACGCACAAAGGTGTATTGGTCTTTACCCCATTAACAAAATCTTGGCGTAAAATTGCATCAATGAAGTACCCTAGATCAATGCCTATTTTAGGAGTATCTGAAGTCAGTTCGGATATTTTGGTCATTCCAAGCCATCAAAATCGGCAAGAGAGGCGGTTTCCTAGGTCACGGATTGCTGGTGTGTCAGATGTTTATGAGGATCCTCACAGACTTTCATTACGGTGTCAATACAGAAATGCTCTTGGTGAAAATGAGTATTCATTCACCCCCAACAAAAAATCATGCAGACTTATGAGACAAAGAAGTGAACAATCAAACATGAGGGGTTATAGAAGGTTTGTGTTGATTGCTGTTGGAGGTCTTGGCTCCTGGGATGAGCCTTTGGATTCTGGAGAGATCTATGACTCAGTGTCAAACAAATGGATTGAAATCCAGAAGCTACCCGTAGATTTTGGGATTGTTTGTTCTGGGGTTGTTTGTCATCTAATGTTTTATGTTTACTCCGAGACTGATAAGTTGGCAGGATATGACATAGAAAGAGGCTTCTGGATTGCAATTCAGACCTCTCCATATCCTCCTCGTGTTCTTGAGTACCACCCAAAACTCGTATCATGTAATGGTCGCTTGTTCATGCTTTCTGTCTCGTGGTGTGAAGGGGATGGTCAGATTGGCCAGAGAAACAAGGCTGTTAGAAAATTGTGGGAGCTTGATCTTGTGTATCTTACCTGGTCTGAGGTCTTGGTACACCCTGATGCCCCAATGGACTGGAATGCTTCATATGTCGCAGACAAGAATCTAATATTTGGGCTTGAAATGTGCAGAATATTTGGTCAGGTGCTGGACTTCTTGACTGTATGTGATGTGTCTAATCGCAGGATGAACTGGAAACATATTTCAAGGAATCGTATGGCTCATAAACTTGATGCTTCTTCAACTAAGACAATGGCTGTGATACATCTGTAATGCATATCCAGTAGTAGTATGCCATGATTCATCCAGATTTTAGGCTTCTATTCATGATAGATAGTCACGAGATTTGAGCATGAATTGAAACCTGAAAATTCCTTTTGTTATTCCGTCTGTAGAGAGGTACGGTTATCTGGTGCAGACTTTCCATTTAGGTTCTCTACCGTTGTTCCTAAATTGATCATGTATTTCTTTCCTTTCCCAATAATAATCTCCTTGATGTTTTGGAAGAGCCCATTCTGGATTCTGTATTTAACGTATGGTACTGGGAGATTCTTTATATTGTTATAAAGACTTTTCTAATCTGTGGCTTTTTTTCTCATTAATTGTTATAAAAAGAAAAATTTGACTTTAATATTATCAATTGTCCAGTTAAAATCATTTGTGACATCGGTGTTAATTAGTTGAGAAATGGATAATGTTTGAAGAAGAAAGAAATCCAGGAATAGAACATTACAGACACAATATTAAAGCACCACTATTACTGCAAAAAGAATATGGGTATTATCATGTACCGAAACAGATTTTCATCAAAATGACATCACTGAGAACAAAACGAAACACTCTACACGGATGGGAAATTTATATACAAAATATCTACTTGCAATTTTGATGCTTTTGCAACTGCACTCCAGATATGACTTGACATGGATTTTGCACTCACTGATCTGGGAAAATGCATTAAGGAATCCATCACGGATTTGGAAATATTCCAGAGAAGTTGGGGATCTTATCAACACGCTTTAGGGCACGCTCGGCTATCTGCCTGGTTCTGTAATCAGCATGCTGGAAAGCGTCAACAAGAGCTGTAATGATGTTGGGATCTCCAGCAACTTCACATGCTATTTCTTCAGTCCGTAGAAGTCTCTCAACTACCCAAACTCCTCTATTCCTCAAGTTCTCTGTTCGTTTCTCAAGCAAAACATCAACTATTGGTCTGATTCCTTCTGCCTCATCCAATAGCACGACTCCTTGCTCAATATCAACCCCATCATCCAGCAATGTGGATAGTGCAGCGAGTGCTGCCTCGACTACCTTCTCATTTGTGTGGTCCAAGAGAGCTATCAACTTCCCCACAGCCTGTCCTTCACAAAGACAGAAACTCTCTCTTTGTGAACAGGCTCCTTGGTGGATCTTGCACAATCCTGTTATGACAAGCTGTTTGCTGAAACATGTAAAGATAGAAGCACAGAAACCAGACGTTGGTAACTCTGGCAATCTGGTCAAGTTTTTGGACTCCCTTGATAAGTTCTCCAGTGCTGTGGCAGAAACCATTTGCACATTGTCAAGTGCATTGGACTGGAGCAACTCAATAAATAACGCAGTAAGATTGTGCTCACGGCAAAGGGCAATTGCCTCAGGTTCGTCTACTAAAACAAATGTTACACGAGCTAAAGCACGCACAAGTCCTTCTAGAAATGGTGTCACAAAGCGGGTGCCCCTAATCCCCCCTTGCCGGATTTTGACTACTCCAGAGATGATCAACTGAAAAGCACCTTCATCTAGCATTTGCCGTGTGAGACCTAAATCCCTCTCTGGGAGTTCAGCTAAAAGGCCAGCAGCTGCTGATTGCTCTTCAGTTATTGCTATGTTTTCAGATATGACCTTGATTAGGCTGCCAAGCTGGCCAACTGTGCCACGTAGGGCATCTGCTAATTCCTGACCCATGTATGGAGAGAGGTTCTTGAGAAGTTTTAAAGATACCAGGCGCAAGTCTTTCTGGGGGGCCTCAATAAACTGAACCAAACTGATAGTAGCACCGGAGCTTTTAATTGCAGCAACAACATTTAGAACTGTTGTCTCTGAACTACTGAGTCCAACAAGAACTTGAAGAAGTTTGCACTCAATTGCTGGACCTGTGTTACTGATTAGATGAAGTAAGTTATGGACAATATCTTCAGAAATTAGAGTCTGGTGATCTGGTCCAACAGGAATGGAATCAAAGTCATAGCCTGAGTTTACAACATTTGCAAGTATTGTAGCAGAAATCTCTTTCAGTCGCGTGGGAAGCTGATTGGCACCAACAGTAAAGAGGTCCTTGACAAGAGGGGGAAGTATTCCTGCCTCAATTAACACCTTGGAACTTGCCTCATAGGATGAGACTTGGTTAAGAGCTTTAAGGGCAGCTTCTCTAGATTTCATGTTGCTGCTTTTCATGATAGTGATTAATGACACACCCACAGTTCTCGCCACAAGTACTTTCACATCATTATTCAAAACCAGCTCACCAAGGAATGAAGCCATGGAAAGCTTTGTCTCCAGTGGGCCTGCAGCAGTCCCATTTTAGTTGCATTAACCAGATAGAGGAATATAGCAGATTCATGATTAAAATGAAAATATTGTCCAACATTAACAATATCCAACTTAGTGTAAAACCATATCCTACTGCAGCCTTAGTTCTAATGAGATGACTACAAAAACCTGTCATGATATGAACAAACAAGAAAGCCTTAAAATAAACTCAAATGTGCAAAAAGTCAATTCACAATATTATTTTTCATCTTAATCTGAGACAAAGTCTAACACAAGAATTGCCTGAACTATAGATATCAGGAGCTGGACAGATATATCCCCGACTTAATAGGTCAAAAAAAAAAAAAAAAGAGGACAATTTCCTCATGAGCAGATAAGAAGTTTTATTTCTGGAGTAATCAGTAAAGAAATAGCTACCAAGCATCATGGATCAGAGAATCTGTCCTCCATGAAAGAAAAGAAAAGGTTATGAAGCAGAAATTTTATGGCTTCCTAAAATGGTTAGCTTAGATGATATTTTGATTATCAACAAATTTTATCAAGCATCAATTGGTTGTTTCGATTTCTTAGAACACTCATAAGCACACAAAAGGAAAATTTTAAACGTGAAGTGGAATATGTAAAACTTATAGCAAATTGAATAAAAACACTCATGATTACAGCCATAAAATAGTGAAAGAGAACAGATATGCTTGCACTGAGATTATAAAAGCTTAGAAGTATTGACGAAAACAAGAGCACCTTCAAGGATCAGTGTCAAAAGCGGCTGCAGTCTACCATTTTCAGCCATCTGTCGAACATTGTTTTCACATTTCTCCAAGTTCTCCAAAGTTTTATCGGCCTTCTCAACAGTCAAAAGATTCTCTGATTTGCTGCTTGTCATTCCAACCAATATAAGAATGGCGCCATTAACTGAACCAATTTTCTCGCACAAAGCTTCAGATTTGGAAAGCTCATATAGCAAAGATACAGCCTCCTCCCTCTCCTTAGATAGTTCATGAGACAAAAACTTGACTATTGTACGAACAGTGTCCCCCTCAGCCAATATTGCCTGAAAAGCAATGAATAACATACAAGAATCATAATTTGGATGCAGAGTCATAGCAGTGGCATCAGAAAAGCCTTACAAAAACTGCAAACCTGGAACTACCTTATTATCATCATCTTCCTCCACCACTATCTGAAGAGTCTCCAATGCTACACAACGAACTTTACGACTGTTGCTCTTTAATGTATCAACAATCACGGGTATCAGCTGAGCATTGCGTACAACATGCTTATTTGATCGGCTTTTTTGGCAGATATGCTGGATATACTTGAGAGCCTGCAGGACATCACTTTCTGAGCTGCCTATATTCAATGACCTACAAGCCATATCCAGCTGAACAGCTTCATTCCTAGAATTCCACTCTCCAATGGTGTTCCGCAAAGCTATACTGGAGTTCAGATCCATACTTTTTAGTTCTTTAAGTGTCAATGGGCAGATCAGCTTCCTTCCGCTTTGCTTACATTCCTTGAACCATTTCTCAATTGCTTCACGTTCAAATGTCTGTCCATTTTCTAGGGTCACAGGATCTCTCATAACCTGTTTTGTCAAAGGGCAAACAAATGCATCATACATAGGCTCTAGATGCATTCTCTCAAACTGATGGCTATCATCCGATTGGCTGCCACGGTCAAAACTTCCATCCCAGCTCTCAGACATCTGACCTGATTTAGTCACTTCCAGCAAAATAGAACTGCATAATGATAAACATCCATGTCAATACTTTCGTGACTAGGGAGCAGATAAAACTATAAAAGGCACATACCTTCATCAGTTGAAAATATAGAAGGAACAATTAAGCCTGTTGTATTGCATTTGCAAAAAGAAAAAGGAGCATGTTGTACAATTAAGTAAGTTCATTTCCATTTCTGGGAAATTAGGAAAATCAAGTGCCAAAGAAAACCATGAACAATAACAGAAAAAAAAAAAAAAAAGAGCTTGTCATTTCAATCTAGAATCAGAATCTACTGCTCCAAATTACACTAAATTATGGATTCAATGCCAATAAGACAACTGAAAATTGAACAAAGTCAAGTCATCAAGTTTCATAGACAATCATACAATCCTGCAAATTAGACAATCAAAACTCTCATTTCTGAATTCTCCCCAATCAAAATGAGAAACAAACTGAACACAAGAGCAAGAACCCAGAACCCAAACCTTGTTAACTTGGAAGAAATGAAAGAAACCCAGAGCAAACCCTAGTCTGAAGATTCCCAAAATAGCTCTTCTTTGACCACTGAGGCTGCCTTAAAAGTTACCCCCTTTTTGCTTCCATGAAATAATTGACTCCTCCGCTATACCAAAAATTCAGAACTAGGGTTCTTGCTGTTTGTTGAGGAGGAGCCCAGCGCCACAGCCACAGGGGTATATATGAGCTGGCGAGAGAAAACACCAACTACTACAAAAGAAGACGACAAACACAGAAAGAGCAGCCAAACAAATATAAAAAAATGAAGAAAAGGGGTTTTTGGTTTGAGGCAGATATTAAGTTAAAAAAGAGAGATGAAGTTGAGTCAAAAAGCAAGTCGTGTGAGGAGGAGCTTGGCTTCCAGCGAGCAACTATTCATCTTTAAGCTCCAACCACAGGAAACAACAGCTAGTTGGGTATGGAAAGGGAAAATTTGGCGGGTCCGGGTCGGCACCTGAAAGCGAAGTTTTGGAAAGGTCAAAACATCATTTTTAGTACCTCTACTTTAATTAAAAACGTCTTATTAGTTCCTTTACTTAAGAAAGTCTCTTCTTAGTCCCTTAAATTTATTATTCAACCCATTTTTAGTTCTTTGATTATCTTTTTATATATATGACATATTAGATAATAAAAAATTTAAAACATATGGACTAAAAATGAGCTTTTTTTATGTAAAGAGACAAAAAAAAGGCTTTTTTTAATTCTCTTCTTTTTCATTTACTTTAAAATCTTTAATATTTAATGTGTTACATGTGTAAATAGATAATAGGGAGATTAAAAAAGAATCAAAGAATAAACTTTAGATATTAAAATTGAACTTTCTTAAGTAAAGAGATTAAAAAATAGTTTTTTATTAAAATTGAAAATTAGAATGAGATTTTCTTTAAAAAAATTAAAGTATAATTAAAGTTATATCAAATTATTAAATTAGGTAAGTCCTATCAACTATTTTTTAATGAAAGAACTAATTTCAAATCAACTTTAAAAACTTTAAAAACTAAATTTAAAAATTTTTAATATAAAAATTAATTTAAAAATTTATATAATGAATGAGGACCAAAAGAAAGGTTTAACCTTTTTGTTTTCTTTTGCATGGGGTATGTGCCTCCACGCTTCAAAATCAAGATATCATTTTCTTATAATAAAGGATGTTACAGTAAAAAATTATAAAAAATTTTAACAATTAAAATGGTAGAAGTTATAATAAAAAATTAAATATATTTAAATATATTTAATGTTTAAATAATTTCACAAATAACAATAATATTCCATCACTTTGTTATTTTCAATTTTATCATACAACAATCCAATTTGGTAAATTATTATTTAAAAAAAAAAAAAAGGGGAAATCACAACAATCAGAGCAGTGAAAATAATTATTCTTCCCCTGCCGCCTGCCTCGCCGTCTCTTCTCCTCGCCGCCGGCGTTCTCTGTTTTTCCTCTGTCCTCTCATTATCACCCTTTGTTTCTCTCACAGAGCAAAATTAAGCTGAAAGGAAATCATGAAGCTTGGATTTCCGGCTACAAGCTAGGGGTACTTCCTGTGCTGATTAATCTCGGCACCTTGATCGCCGTTAGGGTTCGTTCTTCTATTTTTATAATTTAGTCCTACTAAAATTCAATGCATGTCGCTCTTAATTTTTATAATTTCGGAGAAAGATTTATGATTTTGATATGACTATGATCTCTAGCTGATTTAAGATAATTAAATTCTTCTTATATATAGTTAAAATCGAATCGGAACGAACAACTCAACATCCTTAGCATTAGAGTTGGATTCTCTGAAGTCTGAATTCCTCTCTTCAGTGCAGGAAATCAGCTTCTGCTTTTGTTTGGAAGATGGAAGTTCAAGAAGAAAGGCAAAGCTTTGATGATGGAGATGAAGACCCAAAAGAGGAACAACCAGAAGTAGTAGAAGAACTGCAGCAGAAGCTACAAGAAGTAGAATTGGGAGGTAGGGATGCGAAAGTTTTGCGATTTCTTGATTCAGTGGATGATTACCTCACCCTCATAGAATCTTTATCTTCAACGCTTCGCCAGGTAAACTAATCAAAAATCTTGATTCTAGATCCCAATTATACTGTTGACTGTGTTTGTTGTTTTGATACTCATTGTGCTAATTTTGCAATGAAATTTGATGTTGGTAATTGTTTGAGAATTTACTTGATAGAAACTGACCCCAAATTGGATTTAGGGTCGGGAGAGTAAATGAAATGCAGATTGGTGATTTTGTTTTTGGTATCAACTTGATCACTTTCCTTTGCTTTATGTAATGCAGGGGTGGCTGGAACTAGCAAGTGCTCGACATTCAATGGGTGCTTCTCGCATCAGCACTGTTTTGTTGGACCTAAAAGTTCACTCTGCTGCTACATCACTGCATGTAGATTATGGTGAGAAAGGTACTTATTGGGTTTATTTAAAGAAGCAATTGAGTTAATTGTTACATCTAGTTAAAATTGTCTGATGAGCAGAAAGGCTCTCTAGTTCACAGAAAGGTTGTGCAAATTTCATTGAAGAGTGGAACATTAAAGGAATGAACATACCAAGTGTTTTCCTGGCTGCATGTATGAAGAGGGTTTACTTGATAGAATGTTAGATATCATTTATCCAACTTGAGAATCAGTACCACATAATCTTCTTTCATGGCTGTCATTTCTTACCAGCCTTTTTCTATATACTGTTGTTGAAGGAAATTTTCTATGATCTGTTGTAGGTGACTCTGTGGAGGGGCGACCACACTTTACCCTATGTAAATGGGTGTCCTCTAAGAACAGAAAATGCTCTCCTGAAGATGAAAATCATAGAGAGAACAAATTGCATCCACAGCTACGATATAGGGGCAACTTGCAGCTTCATGGTATAGTTTTTTGACTTTTTCTTTCTTTTCTTTCATAGATGTTGAAGAATGTGCATTTAACTGGACTTCAATGGTCATGCAGATAAATAAAATAAATTGCACACACAAGGCTGAGAAACTAACTTTTTTAGTGGAATTTCACACTAGTATCCTGTGTTATGAGAAATTTATATTACAACCTCAAGATGTCTTTTAAATCATATCTCCTCTAGGGGGATGTTTCTGACATATTTCATTTTTTATGTTTCTCGTAAGAAGAGGAAACCTTGCCTCAAGACAGAGCTACGCATAAGGTTGATGATCAAGTAAGAATTTAAGAAGTTTGTCATGCATCATGTTATCTTCTTCCTCACACTTATGCCCTTGCCACGTCAGTTTTTTTTTTTTTAATTAGTTCACAATTTCTAGACAGCACATCCATGTCAAATGGAGAAACATGTGCAAATCTTTGTTTGAGTTGTTACTTGTGCTATATTGGAAAGATTCTTCTATTTTATGTTGCCTTTTTCTTGTAGAGAGTTGGTGAATTTTTAATCCAGATGAATGTTCATGGAGTGACTAGAAATTTTGTTCCTCACTATCTCCTATCTAGGTTGAGAAGGAGCGGAAAAAATCATTGTCGGTGTTTGGAGCTCTAGTTTCCCCTAAGCTTCGAGCTGCCCAACTAACTTTTGAAGGAGGTGTGTAATTTAACCCTATTGCTTTAATGCTTTTCAAAATATTCTAAAGACATTGCTTAGAGTTCATAACATTTTTTGCAGCTTTAGAGACACTTGTAGAAATAGCAAACATGCGTGCAGCAATGCTATCTGCTTTTGATCAAGTCCAAAAAGAATTGGGAGGCACCCAGGGATGAGAGACAGTGTATTCAGGTATATATCGTCCTGGTCCTACCATAACTGTTTCCTATATCTTAAATTGGATTAGAAGTGGAAGAACCATCTTCCTTTATCAGAAAAATCACCCATATAATTTTGGACCATGTTTTCAACTCACAATAGGCAGCATAAATTCCTGAGGGTTGGGGATCAAAAATTCTTTTGATAAAAAATTCAATGAATGTGAGGGACTGCAGATTTTATGTTGCAGCAGAAGGCAGCGGAAGATCCTCTATTCAGTGTGGAATTTTTTTCAATGAGGCTAGTTCCCGGCAGCTTAGTTTTTGTATTTGTGTAAACCCCGGAAGATACTTTATTCCATACTTTATTCAGTGTGGAATCTTCTACTGTTTAGATATGTTTATTAAGCACATTAGCCCAGAAAGTGAAGAAAAATGGTTTAAAACTAATTGATCTTGTTGTATTAATTTCTTTATTTCATATATGAATGTGAATTGGCTGTACTCATGCTATTTTTGCCTTTTTCCAATTTCTTCTTGCACTCTTCCAAGTTTACTTATGTGTATGTGTGTATATATATATATTTAAATATCAGGTTATAAGTTGTATGTAACTAAAAAAAAAAGAACAGGTTATAAGATTTTAATCTAGCAATTAGCTTGCTAGAAACAAGGTGAGAAAATGAAAAATCATCTCTCACCCCCCAAACTAAACATTCTCTTAACTATAGTTTTTATGTAAGGTTTTTTCAATAGCATAGATTAAGAGTATATTTTTGTTACATATATATATATATATATAAATATTGAAATGGATATTAAGTTTAGTGTTAGTGGCACGTTAATAAATTTATTTATTTGTTGATAAATATTGATTTTGATAAATAGAAAGTCAATATTTATCCTTTCAATTTAAATTTATAATGGAAATACAATTTATTTTATTCTTAAAATTTACTTTAAAACACACGTATTAAAAAAACTCATATAAATATTGCAAGAAATAATTGTGAATTTGCACCTGGTTCTTGCGGCTTAGTGGCAATAGTCACCCAGGTGCATTCCCTCCTTCCCGGGCTGGGTTCGAAACCTGTCCCTTACAAATATGTTCAACAAAAAAAAAAAAAAAAAGAAATAATTGTGAATTTATATAAAAATCATTATAAATATTTTAAAAATTATTAAAATTATTAAGTTTAGAATCAT